TTGTTTTCTGCTTCCCTGGAGACTAGGATGCGGAACAATGGCTTCAAACTACAAGGAGATTCCATCTGAACACGAGGAAAAACTTCCTGACTGTGAGAGCCGTTCAGCAGTGGAACTCTCTACCCTGGAGTGTGGTGGAGGCTCCTTCTTTGGAAGCTTTTAAACAGAGGCTGGATGGCCATCTGTCAGGGGTGATTTGAATGCAATATTCCTGCTTCTTGGCAGGGGGTTGGACTGGGTGGCCCATGAGGTCTCTTCCAACTCTTTGATTCTATGATTCTATGATTCTAAGTGAAAATTGGCAAAAGAAGGCCAGATTGTGGTGTAAGTGTGAGGCTCTAATGGCTTGTTCTTGGGCTGCCAGAACTTTTTCAGAGTTCCATTTGTGAGCCACATCCATGTTTCTTCCTTGTCAATTTTGCTATCAATTTTCCTCAGGAACTGTCCATGGATTGCCTTCTTCTTCCAATGCCATCAAAGCCAGAACTGAAAGGTTGACGACAGATTCCAAATGTAGACTCTGCAAGGAAGCAGACGAAAATGATGGATTACATCCTCAGCTGCTGCGAGAAGATCGTGCAGACGGACTGCAAGCAGAGACATAATACTGTTGCTCAGGTGACTCACGCGAACTTGTGCCACAAATACCATCTGCCTGCGATGAAAAAATTAGGATCAAAAGCCTAAAAATGTTATAGAAAATGAACACCTCAAACTACTCTGGGACTTTCGACTTCAGACTGACAAGAGTTTTGGAGCACAAGACTCCTGACACCATGTTTATGAAAAAAAAAAGTATGGATCATTGATGTTGCAATCCCAGGTGATAGCAGAATTGATGGAAACCAACTGGAAAAACTGACATGATATAAGGATTTAAAGATAGAACTGGAAAGACTCTGGCACAAGCCAGTCAAGGTGGTTCAAGTGGTGATTGGCACACTGGGTGCAGTGCCTAAAGAATGTATTGTCGAAGGCTTTCATGACCGGAATCACTGGGTTGTTGTAGGTTTTTTCGGGCTATATGGCCATGGTCTAGAGGCATTTCTCCTGACGTTTCGCCTGCATCTATGGCAAGCATCCTCAGAGGTAGTGAGGTCTGTTGGAACTAGGAAAAGGGGTTTATATATCTGTGGAGTGACCAGGGTGGGACAAAGGACTCTTGTCTGCTGAAGCTAGGTGTAAATGTTTCAACTGACCACCTTGATTAGCATACAATGGCCTGATTGTGCCTGGAACAAACTTTTTTTGAGAGGTGATTAGATGTCCCTGCCTGCTTCCTCTCTGTTGTTGTGCTGTTGCAATTTTAGAGTTTTTTTT